AAGGGGCTAGACGCGGGAGGGGGTGGCCGAACACTCGGCTTCCACGCCTCCCTGGACGCTGGGCTCTTGCTCAATCCTTGGGCCTCAGCTGGAGCTGGACCCGCCTAGGACTGGGGCCCCACTCTGCCCGAGCCCCGGGTCCGAGCCCGGCGCCACCTGGAGCTCCCGAGTCCCGGGTCCCAGCCCGGTGCCACCTGGAGCTCCCTTCCCGAACGAGACTTAGAAAGCTTCCTGAACAGGGCCTCGCTCCTGCCGGCTGGGCCTGGGGTGCCAGGGTGAGTGCCCCCTTCTCCTGTGGGGACCTTCAGCCTGCTTCAGCCATGGAGCTGGGGTGCTCAGGCAGCTCTCCTGCCGAGACTTGATCTTGGGGCAGTGAGCTGACCCTGGGGAAGCCTTGGCCGTGCCCTGCATCACCTCCTCAGAGCTGGCAGGCTGCCTGCCCCGGCTGCACAGCCAATGTCCTTCCTGTTTCCAAGCTCTGAAGGGTTCCCAGCAGATCCTCTTGGCTGCTGGCTCAGGTTCTGGACAGGAAGGCCAGGCCCACAGGATGTCTGGTGGCCAGGAACGTAGCCCTGAAGGCTTCATAGACCATCTGCTCAGTGGACAGAAGACAGGCCCTGAGAGAGGGGAGGGGCGTGCCGGAAGTCTCCAGAGCACCATTTTCCTGAGGCCAGGCACAGCTGTCCCCCACACCTGAAGACAGGGTGAGCTCATCTCTGGGGGCTCTGCCCAATGCCAAGCACATGGCCCAACCCATGGGGCCTCCAGGGCCTCAGCAGCCACGAGACCCCAACAGATGCTCTTGGCAGCCTGGGTGGCAGACAGGGCAGGGCGTGCTGGCCCATTTCCCCAGAAATGAAGGACCAAGTCTTAAGACATTGAGTTACCTACCTGCCCCCAGAGTGGAAGATAGAACCTGCAAGGGCACCCAGGGCACCTAGCGCTGGCTAGGGTTCTTGCCACAGCTTGGGCAGCCTCCCTCCCTCCCTCAAGGAGAAGCCCTGCAGAGCTTCCAGCACTAGGGACCGGGAACCCCCAGGCCCAGTGGGGTGAGGGCTCATCCTGGATGGTGAGGTGCAGCTGAGTCCCCAGGGACCGTCAAAGCCCAACTGCAGTGCTGACCCTGGGTGCCCAGGACAGCAGAGGCTGGGTTGTCCAGTGGCACCCACTCAGTATGTGGGCACTTGAATGTTTATGGAGTGACTGCGTTAACGTGAGCAGAATCTAGGGCAGAACTCTGGCCTGGGGCACTTCCGGAAGGTTCCCTGTGGCTGTCTTCAGAGTGTAGAAGGACCTTTGACCCAGCTGCCTTTCCGTGTGGGACCTGTACAGTTCCAGTAGGAAAAGATTGGTGTCTGTCTGTCCGGCAGTGCTGACTCTGTAGCCTCTGCTCTGGCTTTCAGGACGCAGCAGTGAGCAAGGAAGGACTCGACCCACCTGGCCACCCTTCATGGCCCTCCTCCTCACTCTACTGTCTCTTTTTCCATAGTACTCATCTTTTTTTGCTCACCATGTTGGAATTTTCTGGTTTTGTTTCTGTCTGACAACCTCCCCAAGAATGTTGCCCTGATAGGCAGGGCTGTTTGTCTCATGGGGCGTCCAAGTGCCTGGGAGAGCAATTGGCTCTGGGCAGGGACTCAGCTGGTGTTTCTGCAACTGGCAAAAACAGGTGCTCTGGTGAGAGACAAGCAAGAAATGAGCAGGAACACAGGCTGCAGGTGAGATCGGCGCAGCGATGGTGCAAGCCAAGTGACACGACAGGGCCACGCTGACATCTGTGGGCACGTGTTCCGGGCAGAGGGCAGCTTCAGGTCACTGAGTTCAAGCTTGTGGCCCAAGCAGAGTGAAGCAGGCTCCAGGGGAGAAGGGGCCTGGCCGGGGGATGGATCCCACTCCGGGTCTTCTTGCGGGGGTGGGGGGGCAGCGGGATCCCAGCTGTTGCTTTCTGCCCCTCCCCCCACCCTGAAGTAATGACTCAGGGAGCAAGCTGACTCACAGGGACACAACCCCCCCGCCAGCCTGGCTCCCTGTGTGTTTCAGTGTGTGTTGGAAAATGGGCGACCTGGAGTCGGACTTCAACCTGAAAGTTGTCTTAGTCAGTTTCAAGCAGTGTCTCAACGAGAAGGAGGAGGTGCTGCTGGATCACTACCTCGCTGGCTGGAGGGGGCTGGTCAGGTACATTCGGGGGCACTGCCCTGTGGGCCCCCACACAAAGGTGGGGCCTTTCTGGCCACACTTCCCGCATGCTATGCTATGCACTGTGCACACCAGGCTCCTGCCTGCCCGGAACTGGTCAGCCGTTCTCGTTCGCCACCTGGCTGGCAGCACCGAACCTTACCACGCCTGCTGGCACGTGGACATGTACCCCAGGAGGTGGGGGGAAGTCTCCCCTGCACCCTGGGCTGAGCTCCTGCTTCCCCTCGAGCAGGTTCCTGAACAGCCTGGGTGCCATCTTCTCCTTCATCTCTAAGGATGTCACCACAAAGCTACAGATCATGGAGCGTCTGTGCAGTGGCCCACAGCAGGAGCACTACAGCAGCCTGCAGTCCATGATGGCCTACGAGGTGGGCAACCGGCTGGTGGACCTCGAGCGTCGTTCCCAGCACCCCGACTCAGGCTGCCGGACAGTGCTCCGGCTACACCGCGCCCTGCGCTGGCTACAGCTCTTCCTGGAAGGTCTGCGCACCAGCCCCGAGGACGCGCGTACTGCCGTGCTCTGCACCGACTCCTACAACGCCTCTCTGGCTGCCTACCACCCCTGGATCATCCGCCGGGCCGTCACCGTGGCCTTCTGTACGTTGCCCACACGCAAGGTCTTCCTGGAGGCCATGAACGTGGGGTCCCCAGAGCAGGCCGTGGAAATGCTGGGCGAGGCCCTGCCCTTCATTGAGCGTGTCTACGATGTCTCCCAGAAACTCTACACTGAGCATTCCCTGCTGAACCTGCCCTGAGGGCCAGCGGGTGAGGTGGGGCATGTTTCTCCTTTCTAGAGCTGGGCTGGGGCAGCCAGAACCCATCAGGCCCACCATGGAGATTTGTGGGTGCCCCAGGAATGGGAAATACGCTTTCCCCTGCCAGCTGAGCTACGGGCCCAGCATAGCCCACTCGGGCTGAGCTTCTGGGCTGCAGCATGGGGGCTGTGACAGAGAAGGCAAGCCCTGGCCATCGCTCCTCCTTGTTGTCTTGCTCTGACCAAGGGCACCTTGGCTTCACCCTCAACCAGGTTATACGTGTGCAACCAGGCCTTGCCCGGATGGGTAAAGTGCCGAAGGCGGGGAGGGTAAGGGCAGTATCCGTGTTCATGCGAAACCCTGAAAAGCTGCCTCCTGCCTGTGAGCCAAGTGTGTGAAATGGGGCGAAGTCACAGGTCCCCACAGTGCAGAGACTTCATCCTGCTTGCCAGCAAACTCACCCAGCAGGTGCTTCTCTGTCCCTGGCCCATCTCGGTGTCAGGCCCTGGGTGCAGTGCCTAGGTCCAGGTGCCCGGGCCCCTCCACACGGGGTTGGCTGTCCCCAGGACAGGGATGGAACCCCTGGGCAGCAGTGGACAGGCCCTCTCCCTGTCCCTCACCTCCTTGTTAGCCAGGGTCCCACATGTCCTCAGCAGCAACATGCAGGAGCCAAAGCCCTGAGCGGAGGCCTGCCCTGCCTCTAGTTCTGCACACTTATCAGCTGCCCCCTGCAGCCACCCTGTCATTCAGGTGCTCCCCCAGGCAGCTGCCTGTGAGTCTGCACAGCACAACTCCAAAGCTCTAGAGAGCCCATGACTCTGCTGGTCCAGTTCTGGCCTCTCCCTCCCCATCATCCAACAAGATGCTGCATTCCATCCTCCCCGTCCCTACAGAGCTCAGGAGACCCGGGATGATATGGCACACGGAGAGAGCCTGGACCCTTTTGCCCAGCTGACAGGCCAGCCGTCACCAGACACTTGGGGACCTAGCGTCTCCTACTGGCTCTTCACTGTGAGCTCAGGGCCCTCAATGCCGAGGGGACCGTATCCACCATATGGAGATGTGCGTAAGTGTGAACTTGCAGAGACCCTGGGAAAATGTAATACGGGTGATGGATTTTCAGACATCAATAAATTCCCCTTCTGGAGCAGGTGGTACGCTCCAGGATGGGGGCTATTTGCTGCGTCAAGCACTAGCTTACTGCAGGGGAGGCGTGACCCCGTGGGGGCTTAGGCCCCACTGCCAGGCTCACAGGGCAGCGGCAACCATGGGGACACGTGGCATGTCTCGGCCAGCAGGGGGCAGGGACATGCTGCCCGTCCGTCCTTGCGCAGGCTTTAGCTTGCCCCCCACCCCGAGCCCCCGCTGAGGTCCACATTATCCCCATTTTGTAGTTGAGAAAACAATCACACAAGGGCCTGGGTTGGAAGGGCAGGTCTGAGGCCAACTACACAGCTTGTAAGGAGAATGTGGAAGGGGAGCTGCCTTGTGCCACACGGTGGTTGGGACGGAAAGAGAACATGTATCAGACCCAAACAGCGGTGTCCCGTGCCACCTCCGCCACCTCCAGGTCTGCTGCTTCACCCTGTCCAGCGCTACCCTAGGCCCAGTAGGGACCGCAGCACCGTGTGGTGCCAGAGCCTGCGAGGACAGCCTGGCGTCCACGAGGACCAGAGAGAGAGCCAGTGCTGCACGTATGTGCACACATGCGCATGAAAATGTTCAGGTGCCACGCACTGCATACATGTCATGCGTTTGTGTGTGTGGTGTGTGCAGGTACAGTGCATCAAGTGTGTGTTCTGCACATGTGTGCACATCCCGAGAGCACCATGCAGCAGGGGCCCTCCCCACAGGCAGCAAAGACCAGATCCCAGACCACCTCCTATAAACATCTGCCAGGCCCCAGCCAGGGCGGGGTCCACCTGGAGCTCTCCCACTCCACTCCAGGGGCGTCTGCAGCCTCCCCCAGTTCTTCTGGGTGCCTAATGGGCACATCCACCCCTGAGCCTGGTGTCAGGTCCCCAGGCGCCCAGAGGCTAAGTAGGAATGCTGGCAATCCACTGAGGCTCCCCTGCACACACCTGGTGCTGACCCAGCTTCAGAGGCCCATTTGGTTATGGCCTTTCCTCCCTCATTTGCATGCACTGTCCTGCAGACCCAGCTGTGACCTTTGTCCCCAGAGGGAGGCACCTGCTGTGTCAAGAGCCTAGGCTCGGTGTGAGCACAGCCAGGCTCAGGGGCCCCAAAGTTTCCAGGCCTCAGACACTTAGCAGGGCAACAGCCCAGACCTTCCAGTTGCACTGTTCGCACCTTGGGGCCCTCCCCACCCCAGCCACAGGGTGGAGACCAAGCTGGTGGGCTGGTCTGTCCCCTGAGGCTGCAGATGGAGTTCCCCACCCCTGGCTGCTAACAGCCCTCTCCAGGGCTGGAGACCGGTGTTTCTGTACCTACTCCTCGGGGCACTGGCACCTCCTACAGGCAGCTGGAGACCCCAGGACCCTCTCCCAGAGACATCCTGAGTGTTCTCCCTCCCTTCCAGGAATGGGGTGGGTGCAGAGCAGTTTGGGCACAGGCAGGTAACAAGATCATGGTCCGTGGTTGGTCAGCCAGAGAGCCTGGTTGTGACATCAGGATCAAAGAGTCCAGAGAGTTGCAAACCTACTGGGCGGGGAATCAAGGGTGTCTCCAGGGGCCCCCCGGGCTCAGCAGGTGCAGACAGGCGAGGACTTTGCTAAGCAAATTCCCTGCACACACCCTACCCCACTTCATCATATCTGGGGCCCCCACCCCGTTCTCTCATTTGCCATCCCTGCCATGCTCGGCCTCGCTCTCCTGGGCCTCACGGCTCTCTTGGACCATGGGGAGGGCGCAACGTCGTGCTTGTCACAGCAGCTCAGGATGCGGGGGGATTATGTGCTGGGTGGGCTCTTCCCTCTGGGCTCTGCCGAGGGTACAGGTCTTGGCGACAGGCTGCAGCCCAATACTACCGTGTGCACCAGGTAGGAATGCAGGGGGTGGGGAGCGAGGCTGGGAGTGGCTCGGGTTGGGGGTGCTCCTGAGTGGGGATGAGGTGTCGGCCACCCGCAGCCCTGTGTGGCCCCAGGTTCTCGTCTCTGGGCCTGCTCTGGGCACTGGCCGTGAAGATGGCGGTGGAGGAGATCAACAACGGGTCTGCCCTGCTGCCCGGGCTGCACCTGGGCTATGACCTCTTGGACACGTGTTCAGAGCCCATGGTGGCCATGAAGCCCAGCCTCATGTTCATGGCCAAAGCAGGCAGCTGCAGCATTGCCGCCTACTGCAATTACACACAGTACCAGCCCCGCGTGCTGGCCGTCATCGGGCCCCACTCGTCCGAGCTCGCCCTTGTCACCGGCAAGTTCTTCAGCTTCTTCCTTGTGCCTCAGGTGCGCCCCCCCCCCACCTCTCCTGGTGCCACCCACCCCCACTGGCCCTGCCCACCGGGGCCCCCACATCAGGAGGTGCGTCCCGGCCACTGCAGGTCAGCTACGGCGCCAGCACCGACCGGCTGAGCAACCGGGAGATCTTCCCGTCCTTCTTCCGCACGGTGCCCAGCGACCGAGTGCAGGTGGCGGCCATGGTGGAGCTGCTGCAGGAGCTCGGCTGGAACTGGGTGGCGGCGGTGGGTAGTGACGACGAGTATGGCCGGCAGGGCCTGAGCCTCTTCTCCGGCCTGGCCAACGCCAGGGGCATCTGCATCGCGCATGAGGGCCTGGTGCCACTGCCACCAGGCAGCCTGCGGCTGGGCGCCCTACAGGGCCTGCTGCGCCAGGTGAACCAGAGCAGCGTGCAGGTGGTGGTGCTGTTCTCCTCCGCCCACGTGGCCCGCACCCTCTTCAGCTACAGCATCCGCTGCAAGCTCTCCCCCAAGGTGTGGGTGGCCAGTGAGGCCTGGCTGACCTCAGACCTGGTCATGACGCTGCCCGGCATGCCTGGGGTGGGCACCGTGCTGGGCTTCCTGCAGCAGGGCGCCCCGATGCCGGAGTTCCCATCCTACGTGCGGACCCGCCTGGCCCTGGCCGCTGACCCTGCCTTCTGCGCCTCGCTGGACGCTGAACAGCCAGGCCTGGAGGAGCACGTGGTGGGGCCACGCTGCCCCCAATGTGACCACGTCACGCTGGAGAACCTATCTGCGGGGCTGCTGCACCACCAGACCTTCGCTGCCTACGCGGCTGTGTATGGCGTGGCCCAGGCCCTTCACAACACACTGCGCTGCAATGCCTCGGGCTGCCCCAGGCGGGAGCCTGTGCGGCCCTGGCAGGTAAGGCCGAGGAGCCCCCACCCTCCCAAGAGCGGGGAATTTCAGTGGGGAATCTGGGCTGGCGGCAGCTCCGGCCGGCCTGGCCCGGCCCCACCCACCTGCTCCAACGCACCCGTCAGCTCCTAGAGAACATGTACAACGTGAGCTTCCGTGCTCGCGGCCTGGCACTGCAGTTCGACACCAGCGGGAACGTGAACGTGGATTACGACCTGAAACTGTGGGTGTGGCAGGACCCGACTCCCGAGCTGCGCACCGTAGGCACCTTCAAGGGCCGCCTGGAGCTCTGGCGCTCTCAGATGTGCTGGCACACGCCGGGGAAGCAGGTGAGCACTGGGTGGCCGGTCCCCAGCTGCACAGCAGCTTTCCCCTCAGCCGGGAGAGAGCTCTGACCCTGCCTGGGGCGCAGTGGGGGACCGTCCACAGGTCCGGGCGGGTGCACCAAGCTGAGCACAGCCCGAGCCCCGAGGCCCTATGCCAGCAGCCCGTGTCCCAGTGCTCGCGGCAGTGCAAGGAGGGCCAGGTGCGCCGCGTGAAGGGCTTCCACTCTTGCTGTTACGACTGCGTGGACTGCAAGGCGGGCAGTTATCAGCGCAACCCAGGTGAGCACCTCCCTGAGGCTGAGCAGGGGCGGGGACCCACACGGTCTCACGTCCTGGCTCCAAGTCCAACTCTGAGGCCCCAGCAGGTGGGAGTGTGGTGGCAGAGCCCGTCCCCCCAGTGCCCCCTCTCTCCTCCCACACCACAGATGACCTCCTCTGCACCCAGTGTGACCAGGACCAGTGGTCCCCAGACCGGAGCACACGCTGCTTCCCCCGCAAGCCCATGTTCCTGGCATGGGGGGAGCCAGCTGTGCTGCTACTGCTCGCGCTGCTGGCTCTGGCGCTGGGCCTGGCGCTGGCGGCCCTGGGGCTCTTCCTCTGGCACTCGGACAGCCCGCTGGTTCAGGCCTCAGGTGGGCCACGGGCCTGCTTTGGCCTGGCCTGCCTGGGCCTGGTCTGCCTCAGTGTCCTCCTGTTCCCTGGCCAGCCAGGCCCTGCCAGCTGCCTGGCCCAGCAGCCACTGTTCCACCTCCCACTCACTGGCTGCCTGAGCACGCTTTTCCTGCAAGCGGCCGAGATATTTGTGGGGTCGGAGCTGCCACCAAGCTGGGCTGAGAAGATGCGTGGCCGCCTGCGGGGGCCCTGGGCCTGGCTGGTGGTGCTGCTTGCTATGCTGGCAGAAGCCGCATGGTGTGCCTGGTACCTGGTAGCCTTCCCGCCAGAGGTGGTGACGGACTGGCAGGTACTGCCCACAGAGGCGCTGGTGCACTGCCACGTGCACTCCTGGATCAGCTTCGGCCTGGTGCATGCCACTAACGCCATGCTGGCCTTCCTCTGCTTCCTGGGCACTTTCCTGGTGCAGAGCCGGCCAGGCCACTACAATGGTGCCCGCGGCCTCACCTTTGCCATGCTGGCCTACTTCATCACCTGGATCTCCTTTGTGCCCCTCTTTGCCAATGTGCACGTGGCCTACCAGCCTGCCGTGCAGATGGGCGCCATCCTCCTCTGTGCCCTGGGTATCCTAGCCACCTTCCACCTGCCCAAGTGCTACCTGCTGCTGCAGCGGCCGGAGCTCAACACCCCTGAGTTCTTCCTGGAAGACAATGCCAGAGCACAGGGCAGCAGTTGGGGGCAGGGGAGGGGAGAATCGGGGCAAAAACAAGTGACACCTGATCCAGTGACCTCACCGCAGTGAGCCTACTAGACTTAGTTGAGATGCCCCCAAACTGAGTTCTTATGAAGCAACCCAGACAGTACCTCAACTGCCGAGACCACCCCCAGTTCTAGATCTTGACAGCAGGCTGACCGCTGACCTGGATGCCACAATGATCCTTGGGCCTGCAGCACTCAGGAAGGTCCTCAGCACCCACCTGGGGCCCCAGAGAGACTCTGCCCCTGTCCCAGCCAAGCCCTGGCCAGGGCCTACCCAGGTGATCCAGCCCTACTGTTCCAGAATAAAGCCAACAAAAGTTTCCTCGGGGCTCCTTAGCTCAGGCCAAGAGCTCAGGAAGGCCCCTAGCCAGACCACTTGAAGGCCAAGCTGGGCATCACTTGCCTGGCCAGGCCCAGCCTGGAGACCCCAGCCAGCACCCCCTCCAAGCATCACAGGGGTGGGAGGTTGGTGGGTGGTGGTCAGCTGTGCTGACTCCTCCGCAGAGGCACGTGACAGACCGTGGTTCCCAGAGTGGTGCAGGAATAGTGAGCAGGGCAGAAGCCCACTTAGTGGGGGAGGGAGACACCCAAACTCTTCCCCTCCCTGGCCCAACCCAAGCGGGTAAAATGGGGTCAGCCGCCACCAGCACCGTGGACAGAGCCCAGGCAGGGTGGTGGTGGGACTCAGCACCAAGGCCAGCACCCACGACGAAGACCCCTGGAGCCAGGAGGCAGCACCACGGACAGAAGACCAGCCACCGGGACTCTGCTGGCAGCCAGCACCGGGGACAGAGCCTTGTGGCTGACCGGGAACCCAGAGCGCAGCACCTGGCCAGTCCTGGGTCAGCTCTTAGCCAGGCCCTGAGGAGGCTGGACAAGTCTTCTAAGGTACCCCGGCAGGAGAGAAGAGACAGTCCACACGTCAGTCCCATAAAATTAAATGCTTTTTAGTCTTTAAAATAGCATTTACACAGAAGCAGCTCTATTAACTATCTGGACGGACACTCTGACTTGATACAGTATCTACAGCGCAGATGTGTGCAGGCCAGAAACGCCAGGAAGGAAGCGGCGTGAGTGGGTGGGCAGTCACCTGAGGACAGCAAGGAAGGGTGGGCTGCCTACCCCCTCTCCCCCAGACCCTGCCCCTGCAGCAGCTGCGTGCATCTGTGCCCTCTGCTCTCAGGGTCACATCCCCACCACTGCTAGCTCAAACACATGCCTCTCCTGTCTCTCCCTCACCCAACCCTCCCACTTTCAGACACAACCTGTGTCCCTGCATTCAGTCTGAGTCCCGGGGGCAGGGGGGCAGCTGACCTGGCCACCACCTTCCCCAGGGCACACAGGCCAGACAATAAATAAATAAATTAGATCCCTATCCTGGGCATCCACAGAAGAGCCTGGGGGCTCTGATTCCACCTTTGAGGGGTCCGACCCAGCCCAGGAGAGAGTGGTGGGGCCTGTGTCCTGGGCAAACAGGGGGCCCAGGGCCAGCAGCTACTTCTCAGCTTAGTCTGAAGCCCTGTGCATGGCTCTGTGGGCAAGTGGGAGTCCCAGAGGCACTCCAAGGGCACCGGGAGGTGGAGGACCCTCACCAGGGTCTGCATGGACACAAGCCGCTCTGAACAGCAATGTGCAGGCCACCGAGTCCAGATCATGGTGGTCTGGGCTGCCCTCCGCCCATCCCCCCAGCCTGCTCCCACTCTCTGTCCAGGCCTGGGCCCCAAGACATGGCCCCTTGTGTGCCCCAGAGCACAGGCTGGCTTGAGGCAGGACAGCCACCAATAAGGCAAGCCCACACAAGCTCCAGGGGCAGTGCCCGTGCAGGAACGGCCAGGACCACCAGCTCCCCCACCATGGGGCCCAGCTGAAGGCACTCTCTCCTCGGTCACATGATGTCAACAAAAAATTCACAGGGGTTTCCCATGGCCTTCTGGAAGGACTGGCGGCTGCCCGTCAGCTCTGGGGGAACAGCAGCCAGCTCCCGGACGGGCGGCCCCCCAGGCGGCCCCCCCACCGCCGAGTATGCCTTTGTCAGGGGGTACAGTGGGGGGAGGCCCGGGGCGGCAGCCGAGGCCTGACTGTGTGGGCTGCTGCCCCGGCTGAGCTGACTAGCCGGACGCTCCCTCCAGCCACTGCCAGCGACCCCACTCGGTGCTGCATGGTCCGACTCGCTGCCACTGCCTCCGGCTCCAGCCGCCCGGCGCTCCTTCTCGCGGCCCAGTGCCCGCCGGCTGCTGCCGCCGGCGCTCCGGGTGGACCCACTGCTTTTGCTTCCTGGAGTCAAGGAGTGGAGGGAGGAACGAGATGGCGTGAGGCCGTGCCACTCCCAGGACAACCGGGCGTTGCCAGGGCAACCAGGGGCAGAGCCTGGTGGTCTCAAGCAGGGTGG